TCATGTTGTTCTGTTTGAGAGTCCAGGCCTCTACACCGTATAATAGCGTGTTAAATACATAGCCTCTCAGCATTCTTAATCGTAGAGGGATGCTTATATTTCTGTTGCAGAAGAATTTTCTCATCTTTATGAAGGTGGCCCTGGCAATTTCGATACGTCTTTTTATTTCACTGTTTTGGTCTCCAGTTTCGTTTATTAAAGTTCCCAAGTATTTGTAACTTGATACTTTTTCAACTTGAGTGCCGTTTATACTAATATACGCTGGTTGTGTCATGTTTTTACTGAAGACCATATACTTGTTTTTTTTTAATATTGATATTTATACCATAATTGTTGCAAGCAATATTTATGTCTGTAAGTAATCTTTGTAATTCTTCTACTGTTCTTGCAACTAGTACAGTATCGTCCGCGTATCGAATATTATTTACAATCTCTCCATTAATTACGATTCCTCCGTTTGCTTGTAAAAGGGCTTCCTGACAGATGCTTTCACTATATACATTAAATAACAGAGGTGACAAAATGCAACCCTGTCGTACTCCTCTACATATTTCTATTGCTTGTGATGTTTCAGTTTCTATTTTGATGTTAGCTTTCTGATTTAAATGTAGATTGAGAATTATTCGCAGATCATTATTATCTATGTCCTTCCTTTCAAGAATCTCTCTAAGCTTATCATGGCGTACTCTGTCAAACGCTTTTTCAAAATCGATAAAACACGTATGTACCTCCTGATTAACGTCTAGGCATCTTTGTGTGAGAACATTCAAACCGAAGAGAGCTTCTCGAGCACCAAGCCCTTTTCTGAACCCCATCTGTGTATTACTAATATCTGACTCCAACTTTTGATAAACTCGGTGGTGGATGATTTTTAGAAATATCTTTAGTAGGTGGCTCATTAAAGATATTGTTCGATGTTCTGAACATTCTTTAGCATTAGATTTCTTTGGCAGTGTAACGAATGTAGACAACAGCCACTCTTGAGGTATAATGCCAGTATTGGATATAAGTGCAATATTATACCTATTGATTCATCATTCAAGAGCTTTAGCAATTCGGTAGGAACCTCATCCGGTCCATTTGCCTTCCCAGTTTTGGAATTTTTAAGTGCCATTTCTACTTCACATTTTAGAATTTCAGGTCCCGTTTCGCCATATATCAGAACAATGTTATTTCTGTTGTCCTCAAATAATTCTCTTATGTATTCACTCCATCTATTAGTTTTCTCTGTTAAATCTATAATAATCTTTCCATCTTTGTTCTTAAGCAAACTTATTTGACGTCTTCTTTGGGTTCCTGTAATTTCTCTTACTTTTTTATGTATATTGAACGTGTCATACTTTCTTTCATAGTTTTCCATTTCTACACATTGTTCTGTAATCCATGATTCTTTGGCATTTCTTATTCTTTGCTTTATGTTCTTATCAACCTCTTTGTATTTTTCTGCATTATTCTTCATTTTATAGGAAGAGGATGCCTATGTCTAAAATTGGACAGCAAAGGCTGTATATATAGATAGATAGATAGTCTCCTTACTTGGCTTCGTCTCGGTTTGCACTTTAAGCTCATCTCGTCACACTTCTGGTCCTCTTTATCCAATGGCGCTACAGCCCAAATCGAGCCTTGGTCTCCTCCAAATTATATCTTCAACTTTACTGGTCCCGCGCCGTTCTTCTCTAGGTTCTGAAGTCTAGCACATTTTGCGCGACCGCTGCTTCTCACTTTTTCTCTCACCTTTTCCGTGGCCTTTCTTTTGGTCTTGCGCCCTGCATTTTACTATCTAGTTCTCTTTCGGTCTCCATTCTCACTGCATGACCAATCCATCGAAGTCTCTGAAGTTTAACGAATTTTGAGATCGGTGCCTCTTTGAACAGTTGGTAGAGTTTATGGCTGTACCTGGATCTGCATACCCTGTTTTCGTTCATAGGTCTAAATATCTTCCTTACGACTTTTCTTTCAAAGACCAGCTTTCGTTTTGTGTCTTCTGTCATCACCCATGTCTCGCATCCATAACATACTATTGGTCGGTTGTGTAGACCCCGATTTTCGATCTCCAGTGTATGTTTCTGGAGCGGAACACATGGGCGAGTGAAAGTAAGTTTTGTTTCTGTTTACTATTCTTCTTTGAATTTCTGGTTCTTCTGTGCCATCTGTGTTTAAAGCAACTGAAATTTTCTACAGTTTCAATATCGTCCTTTCAACTGTATGTCTGCTTACTCTAGCTCTTGCCTGTGTTAGATTTTTTGTCTTTTGAATATTTATTGCTGGTCCGTTCTCTTTTACCTATGCTTTTAATTGTGAATATATTTTTGCTGCCTCTTCTGTATTGTGCGACATAATGCTAATTTCATCAGTGTAGGCGGCAATCTGTATTGATTTATTTGTTAGGAGATTAGCTCTTTGACTATTTGATCAAATCCTTTGACTATTGAAAAGTTTTCAGTGAGCTCATTTTGTACTCGTGACAGTTACTTTTGACGAGTCTATTGTTGATGAAATTCATTAGTCAGATGTGAAAACTATGCAATATTTGATAAAACGTTTGTCTAATAATTGAGCCGTAGACCTGTCTATTCAATGTTAGGACGGAACTTTTATACTTCTTACGGTAACGGTTTACTGGCCCATTGCTTAACTCCCAACCTGGAGAACTAGAAACTTCTGGTCCTAGTTCTCGATTATATCTTGGTCTCCCTTCTTTTTCACCCGCTAAATTTTCCTTTTTTTATTTTGTCACTTTTAATATTCACAAGGAATCTACGTTCCTGTAGTTGACTGTATACCATGTATTAAAAATTTAATTAAAAATCCTTTGTAATAGGTATACATTTAAGGCCCAAACGGGCTAAGTTAAAAAGACATAACGTTTTCGGAAACCATGTTCCATCATCAGTGTCCTAGAAAATAGTTAACCACTTAATTAAAAAGAACATAGATTAAAATTTTGACTAAGGGTAATGAAAAATGTGGTTAATACTTACTAGGAGTACATGAATGTAGCCACCAAGATTAAATATATGGGTAAAAACCCGTTAACAGATGTTTAATTACATTTAGTTTTAAAAATACGTTATAATAATTTAAGATGATAGAGTTACCGATGGATTAGCTAACATGGCGACATATGACTCCACGTTGAAGTTGCTAGTCCTGAGACGGTATGTTTTCGAAGACTGTATGAGTGCAACTGATTGGCAATGACATTTCAACCATCAACCATCAATGTTGTAGTTTTAAATTTATGTAAATAAGATAATATAAGGGAGCAAAAATTGTATGGTTGTATTGCTACATACATGTATAGTTGGTTGCCTAACTACAACCATACAATTTTTGCTCCCTTATATTATCTTATTTACATAAATTTACAACTACAACATTGATGGTTGATACTGTTATATTAGTTTACTTAATTTTCACAATTTTAAATAACGTTGGCTTTTGTCTTAAGTAGACACATACAGCTACATTGACTGCTCTGTGATAATTTCCGTCATAACTTAACAATATTGTCATCAAATGTCATTGCCAATCAGTTGCACTCATACAGTCCTCGAAGACATACCGTCTCAGGACTAGCAACTTCAACGTGGAGTCATATGTCGCCATGTTACCTAATCCATCGGTAACTCTATAATCTTAAATTATTATAACATATTTTTAAAACTAAATGTAGTTAAACATCTGTTAACGGGTTTTTACCCATATATTTAATCTTGGTGGCTACATTCATGTACTCCTAGTAAGTATTAACCACATTTTTCATTAACCTTAGTCAAAATTTTAACCTATGTTCTTTTTAATTAAGTGGTTAACTATTTTCTAGGACACTGATGATGGAACATGGTTTCCGAAAACGTTATGTCTTTTTAACTTAACCCGTTTGGGCCTTAAATATATACCTATTACAAAGGGTTTTTAATTAATTTTTTTTTTTTTTAATTAAACTTTTAATATTCTTATGTTGGGTCTCCTCTTCCCTATCGTCTACATCTATCTTGTTCTGTTTTTCCATCTTTCTTATATTCTCATCTTGATTATCTTCCTTTCCGTCCTCTTCACCGTCACAATCCTTGGCTTCGCCCACGCCCCCTCCGCATCTTTAATCCTATTTTATGTTCTCATTTTCATCTTACTGCTATTTGCCGTATTTGTAATAATCAACCCTTTACTCCCAGTTTTTATCTTAATTCTGGTTTTCATTATCTTGATATTCTCTTTGTTTCTTTTTTCTATTTCTTTTCTTCTTTTTCCTTCTTGTCTTGATTTTCTTCCAATGTCTTCCCTCAATTTCTCTTCCTTGATACTATACTCGACGTAGTATTCGTCCTCAACCGCATTCTAGTACCCGACCTTGTTTACGCCCTCATCCTTGTACTGCTCCTACTCTCATCTACATCCTTCTACGGCTTCTTCTTGTTCCCCTTTACATCCTCCGTTTTTTCATATTTGTCTTCATACTGTTGTTTCGGCTTTCTTTTCATCTTTCGCTTCTTTTCTCCGCCATCATAGTCCTCCCCGCCGTCGCTCTCGCCGTCTTTCTAATCCTCCTTTATATCCACATCTTCTTCGGCTTGTTTTCGTTCTCTTTATCTAGTTTATATTTACCTCTTTATATTGTCTCGTTTTTCTTCCTTTTGTCTTTCTCCACCTCTTCCACATTTCCATACTCGGACAGACAATTGCCATAGTCCGAACCTTAATTTTCATCCTCGTGTCTATGTCCTTCATTTTCTCATATTTTCCTCTTCCTCTCCATCTTCCCCTTATGATTCTTTCGTTTCGATCTTTTTTTTTGCTTTTTTTTAAACGGTTTAGTGCTATTGTAGATTTTTTTTAAATTATGGTTTTATAGCAGATCCTCAATTTCGACTTCTGGAAGATTTTTTGCAATTTTATATCTCCTTGTTTTGCTTTTTTTTTATTTTCATAATGTTATTTGTTACTATTCTTGCTTGAGATATCTGTAAGTATAATCTGATACAGAATTCGCATTTTAGGCGTTAGAAACGTTGAAAACCAAAAATACCGTCGCAGCTTCAAAAGTACTTCAAAACAATGCTGCTCAAACGTCCGTGATTGCTAATACTTCTACAATTTCCACCATACCCAAGGAGAAGACGTCCAAAGTTGAGACGTCGAGAAGCTCACCGTCGCATACTTCCCACATTAACTTTTCCAGAGGATCGTTCATAAACACCATTGATGACGACCTAAATCTACTGAAAGATACTACAGTGGACAAAGATAAGTCTAGTGTACTTTCGACGGGGCTGGAGATTTCAAATTTGAATTCTCTCAATCAATCTCTGTCTGTGAAAAGCGAGGATCACTTCTCGAATTTCGAGAATTTGCAGACTGTTAACTTCGCTGGACTCTCGCTGAATATGGTAAGTATCTATATTGTTTTTACACTAACCCATGCTCAAAAACTGTAATGATCAACGTTAAAATAAATACAACATTGGCCAATCATAATAATTTTATTCACTTTTAAACAAAAAATTAAAATCATGATCATATGACGATACAGCATTATAATTTTGATGTTATACCTAGTTGTAAAACCTTGTGCGATATTGTCAGATGTTACGCTTTTAAATGTACAAAAAACAATAGGAGAATAAACGATACACTTCTTGCAGTTCGAACAACTTATCAAAGACGAAGACGTCCGCTTAGAAAACCTGAAAACCATTTTAAAAATCCGCGAGCAGGCATTGTTGGACAGAACCAAAGGCGAGCTGGCCTGGTTAGAAATACAAAGGAAGCATTTTAAAGAAACGGGCAAGTTACACGAAGCGTCGGTGGTAAAGAAGAAGCAGAGAGGCATTTTGGTCAATCATCAAAAGGAAAAACATGAAATGCAGAGGTAAGTCGGAAAATAATTGGACACATTTTACTTATCTTCTCTTTCTTTATCCAATTACTTTTTTCCTTGTTGTATTCGCACTATTGCATTTTAAGTGGTTATTACGACTTTAGCAGCCTTTAAAATCAGTCTTATGTATTTTACTGTTACTCCTTTAGGAGCATTTAAAATCGTCTTGCTATGAGATACTATTTAGACTAGACCATTTTGAAATCATATTTAAATCTTTTAAAATCAGTCTTACGCCCTTTAAAATTAGCATTATGCTTTTGGGAACCGTTAAAATCAGTCTTGACTCTAGATACTCTCAAAATTATTAGTAAATTTCTAGGTCATTTTGAAATCATTTTTACTAGCCTTACGTCCTTTAAAATGACATGTCTTTAGTCGTCTTTAAAGCCAGTCTTTTAGTCTTTGGATCCTGTTAATTCATACCTTTCTAGAATTTTTTAGAATTATTTTTACATCTTTTAGAACCAGTCATATTTCTTTTAAAATGGCTATCACCAGTTTACGAGACTTAACATCAGTCTTCCGTCTTTTAAAATGGCTGATACGCCTGTAGTAGCTTTTAAAATCAGTTTTGCTCTAAATAATGTTAAAATTAATTATACATTTCTACGTCTTTTTGAAATTGTTTTTATATCTTTTAAAATTATTTTTACATTCTTTAAAATGGCTGTTATGTTGTTAGGAGCCCTTCAAATGAATAGTATATATTTTAAAATGATTGTTACGTCTTTAGGAGGCACAAAATCAGTCTTTTAAAATTAGTATTGTCTTAAGGAAATTTTAAAACCAATCTGATGTCATTAAATCTTGTTAAAACCATTCAAACCTAAGTACTTTTAGAATAATTTTTACTTCTTTTAAAACCAGTCATACTTATTTTAAAATGATTATGAGTCTTAGGACCTTTAAAACATGGCTTATTTCTTTAAAATAAGCTTCGAGCTTAAAATGGAGCTCATTAAAATGCTTCGAGCATTGGCTGACTGCCGTATTGACTACCGCTATATCACCTTGATTAAAAGTATTTACGAAACTGGTGCAACTTGTGTCCGCCTTCATGAAGATACCAAGAAGTTTCGAATAGAACGTAGAATTAGACAGGGTGATACTATCTCCCCTAAATGATTTACAGCTGTTCTTGAATATATGTTCAAGCAAATGGAACGAGAGGATAATATGGAAATTAATATAAATGGGGAAGATCTGTACCATCTAAGATTTGTCGATGATATCGTTTTAATATCTGATAGAGTTGATAAAGCTACAAAAATGTTGCACACGCTCTATAAAGTGTCAAAAACAATTGGTCTTAAAATCAACACCTCAAGGACAAAATTTATGATCAACCTTGTAGTCAGCGGTAAAATTCTGATTGAGAGCCATAGCATCGACCAAGTAATAGCTTACAAACATCTAGGGCATGAGATTCGCTTAGGCCGAGATAATCAGACAACTGAAATACAAAGAAAGATAGGTGTCACATGGGTTGCCTTTGGTAGATTGAATAACATCTTCAATCTTCTATTATCCCAGTTTGTTTAAAAAGAAAGGTTTTCAACCAGTGCGTTTTACACATTCTTACATATGCTGCAGAAACACTGACTCTTACAAAAAGAACAATAGATAAAATAAGAGTTACACAACGCGCTATGGAAAGATCAATATTAGGTATTACCATCAGAGATAAAGTACCAAACCTAGAAATAAGAAGAAGAACAGAAGTCACAGATGCAGTTAAAAAAATAGCCATGGCTAAATGGGCTTGGGCCGGACATGTTGCCAGATTAACGGATGATATATGGATCAGAAAAATTCTGGACTGGCGACCAAGGCAAGAGGCATATCGAAGCAGAGGACGACCACCGACTAGATGGACGGATGATATCAAGCGCATCACAAACTGGATGCAAGAAGCTCAAGATAGAAGTAGGTGGAAAATTTTACAGGAGGCCTACGTTTAGCAGTGGACAAATATAGGCTAATTGATGATGATGATGATTATTTCTTTAGATCCTCCTAAAACCATTCATACCCTTCTAGAATCTTTTAGAATTATTTTTACGTCTTTTAGAACCAGTCATATTTCTTTTAAAATGACTATTATCACTTTAGGAGCACTTAAAAATCCATCTTACCTCTTTTAAAATTACTGTTTACACCTTTAGAAGCTTTTAATACCAGTTTTGTCTCTAGATAATGTTAAAATCACTCATACATTTCTACGTTCTTTTGAAATTATTTTTACATTTTTTTAAATCACTCTTACGTTTTTTTAAAATGACTATTATGTCTTTAGGTACCCTTCAAATCAATATTATGACTTTTAAAATGATTGTTACGACTTTTCACGTAAAAAATAAATCCTGATTTTACCTAAAATCAGTCTTTTAAAGCAACTATTATGTCTAGGAAATTTTATAACCAATGTTATGTCATTATATTCTGTTAAATACCATTCATACCCTTCTTACTTTATACTTCATACAATTACTTTTAGAATCATTTTTACTTCTTTTAAAAACCAGTCATCATCATCATCATCTTGGTGCTACAACCATTAGAGGGCCTCGACTTTTTCAAGCTTTCTACGCCATTCTGTTCTGTTCCTTGCTTGTATTTTACAGTTGCCGACTCCGATCTTCTCGGCATCTTGTGTTACCCCGTCCATCCACCTCAGCTTTGGTCTACCCCGTCTTCTCATTCCCACGGGTTACGCTGTTTCTTTTTTATCAATCTTTTTTATCATGTTCGATTCAGGAGCCCGGGCTACATATCCTGCCCACTGCAGGCGGTTTCGCTTAATTATAGTTGTAATATCTTTACCATCAAACGTATGCTTGTAGATATTCTGCAAAGGCTACAAGGCTTTCGTCCTTTAAAACGACTTATGTATTTAGTAGTCTTAAAAAAGTCTTTAGATCCTGTAAAAACCAGTCCTACCTCTGTAAGTATTTTTAGAATCATTTTTACATCTTTTAAAACCAGTCATACTTCTTTTAAAATGACTATTATACCTTTAGGAACCCTTAAAATAAATCTTGCATCTAGATAGTATTAAAACAACCATACATTTCTAGATCCATTTGATATCATTTTTGATGTTAAAATCATTCAAACTCTTCCAATTACTTTTAGAGTAATTTTTTACGTTTCTAGGTACCTTCAAAATCACTTTTACGTCTTTAAGGCTGTTTTAGCAGTTCAAACACACTGCGATTTGAAATGGGCGTATCACTTACTGCTTACGCGAGACTATCTTTACTCAGTTGCGCCGGCCAACGGGTAGTTTAATGACAACAAATGTAATACTCTCCATTCAAATTAGGTTTAACACGGACTAACTGACCGTACGTTCATGAGATTTGACGTCACGAAGGCGATAATGGTGAAACTAAGCGGCAATGATGAGTAAAGCTCGGATTATAGGCAAAATGCCTTTTTTTGCCTATTTTGCCTATTATAAGTGTTTTTTGCACTTTTTGCCTTTTTTCGTAAATTCCGCCTATTTGTGCCTTTTTTAAAATTTCATGGTACTACCCATGATATTATTCTATTACTAAACCATTCTATAATAAAATTTTGGGTCAATAATAAAATATCAATGGTTTGTTTATATAATAGATTTCTAGGAAAATGTACCTGATCGAGACTTGAGGGTTAACTATTTGGAAATCCCTAAGCTTTATTAGTTTATTATCAGTTGTACAGTCGGTTACTGTATCAGAGTTTACTCACAAATTAGCAAATTGCTATATCCTAGTTTAGTTTTGTTGCGTATACCGAAAAGCAAAGAACACGTTTTAAAACGTTCAAGACAGTTGTGTGAAAAGATGACATCTAAATTAAGGCTATGGATCGCACCTTATTCGGAACTTTCTCTAGAAGGAGATGGAGCATTTTGTAAACCATGCGGCAAATCGGTAAGTTTTATTTTTTTTTCTTTTTTTCTCGTCCCACAACATAACTAAATTCTAAAGCGGTTTTAGAATTCTAATTATTTTTTTTTAATTCTCAGATTTCAAGTAGAAAAAAGTACTTTATTGACCAGCATTGTGGAACCCCACTTCATAAACGTAATTTGGAAAAATTAAATTCCTCTAAGTTAGCCCAAACATCTCTGCGGGATAGTTTAAGCAGTTCAAAAAAAAAGGAGGAAGACGCATTTAAATTTGATTTATGCCAGATGATGATTGCATCCAACATTCCTCTATATAAAGTTAATAACCCTAGTTTTAAACGCTTTTTTGAAAAATATCTTAATAAATCCTTACCGGACGAGAGTACATTGAGAAAACATACTGTGGAAAAATGTTATGTGGAATGTATTTCAAAAATTAAGCACGAGTTGGAGGGCAATTTTTTGTATATTATCGTGGATGAAACGACAGATGTATGCGGCAGGTATATAGCTAATTTAATGATTGGAATTTTGAACGAAAACTTTGCGAGAAAACCTTATTTAGTTGCCGTTAAAGAATTGGAAAAAACAAACAATTTAACAATAAGTCGATTTATACAAGATAGTTTAACAAACCTCTTTTTACCCAACGCTATACCAGTGAATAAAATAGTTTTAATGCTTTCAGATGCTGCGGCATATATGTTAAAAGCTGCTGTTAATTTAAAAATTTTTTATCCTAATTTAATTCATTGCACTTGTGTAGCCCACGGGGTAAATAGAATTGCTGAAGAAATAAGAAATCTGTTTCCGTTGGTAAATAATTTTATAAATTTTATGAAAAAAGTTTTTGTAAAGGCTCCGTTGAGGGTGCAAATATATAAAGAAAGACTTCCCGGTGTCCCTTTGCCACCTAAACCAGTAATTACAAGGTGGGGAACCTGGCTCGAAGCAGTCTTTTTTTACTTTGAACACTGCAATGAAATAGAATTAGTTATGTCAGAATTTGATGATGATATTTCCGAAGCCATTCGAGAAGCAAAAAAAATATTAAAAAATCCCAAATTGAAACAGGAACTCGGTTATATCA